TGACCATCCTCAGTCTGTGGTTCTTCCTTTACGTTGGTCAGGCGAACAGACGTCGCAGAGGCAGAGTGGAGGGCTACAGTAGCAGCGAAGGCAGTTCACCAGTCGCATGGTTTTACTGCACCAGTAGGATTCTGCTGTAGCTTACTGTATCTTCGGCAGCGCCATTAATTGCGTCTTTACTATTGCCGAGCGCAAGCTTCTGATCCATATAACAATATGATTACAGCCACTACTTTAAGAAATTTTTAAAAAGTCTCTTTTATTGTCTTTCTACAGTGCGTTTCTCTGTGTCGCACATATGTAGAAAGTAATTAAATGTCAAATTAAAATCATTAAACTGGTTACGGACTTCACTGTATCCCAGACTTTTGAAAGTGTCGATTTGTTCGACGGTCTCATAATTCAACACTATTGTGACTCCTATTCATAACCAACCTTGGTACTCTAGGACCTCTGATTTTGCAGTTGAGATCCAACTATGCTTTTTTCCTTCTCTTCGGGCCTTCTCTTCGATATTTTACATACAAGTCTCATTTCCTTCAGCAAACTTGGCATCCCCATTCAGCGGCCCAAAATATAGTGGATGCATAACACAAACTGTGAAGATTCTTAATATGCTGTCCTCTTGTCACTTCCCCTTTCACAGAACTAAATATTTTCCTCAGCTTGCTGTCCTCTGACACCCTCGAGAGGCGCTGTGACGCTGTCTTCGAAACGCATGCAGAGATCTGCTAAAAGTGTTAATCGGAACCAGGAATTAACATCCACCTCAGTGTCCAAGTTTTCCAAAGCTGCGAACCTATCTGACATTTCAACACGATACTGCTCTTTACCCTCTGCCTCATTTAATTTCTTGAGGCTGAACTTCTCCATATGAACTCTGTGGGTTGTTTGTTTGCTCACTGCCAGTCTTTCCCTAACCTTTGCCACCACCAGGTAGCGGTCAGTATCACAATCTGCTGCCCTGAATGATCGGACATCAGGTATACTTGAGTGCCGTCTCCTCTCTATTTAAATATCATCAAACTGATTGCGATTCTTCCCATGAGGAGATGTCAAAGCAAATTTATGGATGTAACGATGTGGGAACATTGTAGTTTTGGCAGGAAGATTTTTCGATGTGGCAAGGGTTACTGCTCTAAAAATCAGGATAACATAAATTGAATTTTATTGTTTACCGCTACATGTTTCGGTCCTCATGGGACCATCATAAGGCATTGTATATAATAAATACGATAAAGTTACAAAGTAGATAACTTTCAGTCCTGTATGACATACAGGTTTACAACACTTCTGTCTTTATTCGCCTTACATGTTTCGATTCAAAAGAATCATCTTCAGAGGTGCACCACTACGAGCAGGAAACACTGTCACATAAGATGTTTTAACATTATGCACTTAGGTTACGAATAATGCTCACTATATCACAGTTTGCCCTATGCAGGCACGTTGACGTGTAGATTTACGTATGATGTTTTGTTTAAGCGTATTTGATGGGTATTCGATTGGGGTTTCCCACTGTACGCAATGTGATGTTCACTTTTCCATAAAATAGCTTCCCTATGTATTTAAATTTGTATTAAAAATCTTCTGTATGTAAAAAATTAGTTATTATATTAAAAATCGTGAACCAGCATTGGGTCATGTTGCTTTTTCTTCCGGATGGTGGAAGATGTCGATTATTTTCTCTTGGTTGTATGTTCTGTAAACATATTATTATATTAATTTTTATTTATTCTATCTTATATAGTTATATATAGTGCTTATAAGGTTATTAAGTGTCTAGTTAGGCCTTACCTTATTGTTAGTTGTGTAGTTTAAGTGCGTGCTGTGTCGTATGTAATGTTTTGGAGAGTACCGTGTCGCGTATTATATTCTTCCTGTGTTTATGACGTTGAAGAGTGTGTGTTCAAGTTATGTATAATAAGGTCAAACATGTTGTTCTGATTGTTTGTTTCCCTTATTTGTTTCTGTTCATCTATCAATTTATTGTGTTTGTTGTGGTAATATATTTAGAATTCCTCTTTTATGTTCATTATATTACCCTTATTAGCTTTTTCGATGATTCCCATGACCAATCTCAACGGCCATGGAAATCATCGAAAAAGCTAATAAGGGTAGTTCAGAAGCACAGCCTCTCTTCGGTGTACAGTTTGCAATATGCATAGGGAGAAAATGAACATTTAAATAAAAATTTAAATGTAATGGAAATGCAACTTTAAGCATTTCTAGTACAAATTCTTTATATTTTCATTGTACATATGGGGGCATGCGGTAGCGTAGTTCGTTGAGGCCGGAAGGTCGCGGATTCGATTCCCGATGAGGTCCATGGATTTTTCAATTGACCCAATCCTTCCAGCCGCACTCAGCCTCTAACACAAATGAGTACCAGGAATCTTCCTGGGGGTAAAGGGCGGGCGGCGCGTAAGGCTGACATATTCACCTGCATCTGTGAGCCGGTTGTCTACAGAAAATGTGAAAGCCTCAACGTCTCACAGCCCTGTTTCAGGAATAGCTTTACCTTTTATAATCATATTCGGATGAATGAGTATTTAAGCCTTAGGGACACCAATCAGAATTTAAGATATCGTGTCCGAATTAATAATTTAAAAGATTTATCAGCTGCATAATTTCTTTCGCGAGGCTTTCCAACCACCACAAAAATTAAAATATACATAACTGTAATAGTGCCTGTTCTGTACGTTTTTCAAACGGCCTCTCAGCGTCAGGGGAAATACATAAATTCAGGGGTGAGAAGGATATTGGGTCTGAGACAGAGGGGGACGGGCAACGTAGCAGGGTGGTGAACAAATTACGCAAGGAAGAGCTTAATAATTTGTATTACGCGCTAAATATTGTCTAGGGCACCAAATCAAGAAGACGCAATGGGTTGGCATGTAACACGCAGGTGAAAAAGATGAGAACTATGTACAAAATTTCGGTCGGAAAACCTGAAGAGAAGGTAACGCTTCGGAGACATGGGCGTATATGGGAGGATAGTTTTAAAATGGATATTAAACGAATTAAATGTGTTGCATGGATTGGCTCGGCATACATTCCATTGGCTAGCACTTGTGAACGCGGTAATGTCTTCGGATTCTGTAAAAGGCTAGAAATTTCTTGGCTAGATGAGCGGCTATCAGCTTCTCAGAAAGGAACCTGCTCCAGTGTGCGGTCACTGGAAAGAGCCCCATCCGACCTCCAGCAAAAGGAACACACATATCAGGCTTTGCTCTGTTCGTTTCCTATCAGAAGAGTGGCTTCTGTTTAAGCCTTTCACCCTTAAGGATGGTTACCCACAAAACGTGGGCCGTGCCACAGCTCAGGCGGTTAGTCCCCGGCTTCCCACCAAGCCGGCTCGGGTTCGAGCCTAGGTCAGGTAATGTGGGATCCGTGGTGGACAAAGTGGAACTCGGGCAGTTTTTCTCCGAGTACTTCGGTTTTCCCTGCCAATTTTCATTCCACCGACTGCTCCATATTCATCATCATCCGGGCGTGGTACAATTGGCCAATTAGTGGCCGACGTACTAAGTGGACTCAGTCTCACCCCACCCCAAGAAACTAAAAGAAAAATAACTAAACTACCCACAAACCCGTTTTCCAACTACGACCCTTTGAGGTACAGTAGTTAAGAAACACACTGTAGTGTTCACGTTCCACATGCTGTACTTATCCTCCAATGAAAGAAGCTGGCACATATTTCCTACAGTATTCAGGAAAGCGCAAAGTACTGCTTTGTTGCTCTTGCAGAATGAAGTATACAGGCATAGTAGTGGAGCTGGAAGCTAGAAGGCCCAGCCGCACGGTTTCTGGCTGGGCAGAAATTCTTTGCTTATATTGGCTTACAAAGAATAACAATTAACTGGCCATACACTATTAACAGAACAGCAAACAATTTTCAGAACTAAGAAATTCAAACTCGAGATGATGAGATCACGCCGAAACTAGGCAGAAATATTTTCAATTTACGTTCTCATTGTCATGACAACACTTGACTTGTTCATGGCTTGCCTACAACATGGCTGCACTGCGCCCGTTTTCATGTGCCTGCTTAGCATTGCTGCTTCCCTTGTCACAATCGCACGACGCGCATTCAGAGTGCGGTGCGGGTCCAGGCATGGAGAATGCAGCAACCCACAACCAGCATACGGAATACAATGTTACATAGCCATGCAGAGTTTCGTATTTGGGCGGATTCTGTCACAATGCAAAAAAAAGAGTTGAGGTTTAGGTCACAGAACGCCAGGAGACTCTACAGGTAGGTTCACTGAAATCAGTAACAGTAAAATGAGGTCGCATTTTATGCGATGGATGCGTCCCTAAAGACCTCGCACAATTAAAGAAGAGTTTTCTCGTATGAATAAATTTATTGCCGACTTTTTGTGGATTCGCATTAGTTCAAACTTTGCGCATAAAGTGAGACTTCATTAATATTTTTATATAGCACTATTTCAAATACGCATAAAGTAGGCTAAATCTAGTGGAAGTGTTAATGTCAGAAGTTCAAGGGTGACACTGCACCAGCAGGCGATTTGACATTTTTCAGCTGAAAAGGGAATGACTATTTCACAGACCCTACACAGGGGACTCGGACCAACAGTTAAGAGGGCAGAGCTTGTTAGTGAGATGTCGTGTACAATACTTAAATGTCGTTAGTATGATATTATTGTTCTGAATATTCAAACTTGGTAGATCTAAGCGTAGATGGGGGAATATTATTGAAATGGGTCGTAAAGAAATACGACGTAAGGTGTAAGGGGATGTATTGGATTCAGTTATGAGGACGGAGCATAGTGAATGTGGCAATAAACTTTCGTATTTCATAAATGACGGCGACTTTCATGCCCAGCAGAGCGCCTGTCGTCATCTATAAGACGTTACTCCGTGGAGTTCGTGAATATCCTCATGCAATGGTGGGTCCTATTTTCTTGAACAGAAATTTATGTTCGCACATCACAATTCAGTTTATGATGAAAACGTTACATACTAATTCTACTCACCCTTTGGCATTCCACACGGTCCCTTAGTCCTCGAGTTGTCCAAGAAGTCGAGGTCATACCTTCTTGCTGGCGGGTACGTCAAAGCCACATGGGCTACACTAAAGTCACATGACGCCAGAAACACGAGGAATAGAGTCCGAAAACTGAGCGCCATATCACGAACACTTCACTACGTCATGAACACTCGCGATAGATGATGCTCCGGGCTCCCACTGCAAGAAAACAAGAAACATTTAGATTCAACTAAGTCTTTCGCGTCCACGGCGCAGAGACTGTCTTTAATGGTGGGTAAACTCTCAAGGAAATTCCCTGATCTTATGTTGGCAAAGCCCAACGTACACGTATTCAGATAAACCTGCTACTGGATCCTACGCTGAGCCAACGTAACCCTGTCAGGCCCTTCTGGTCTCTTTCCTCTAGCATCTACTTCAAATTTATCCTTTAACGTCTTCATTTTTTATATTCTGTCCAAAATTTCTTACCAGTGTCTCCTGCCCACACATGCTGCATGCCCCACCACATACCTCGCCAAATATAATTTAAATGTCCTTATAAAATCAGGTACAGAGTACAAATTATAGGATGTTTATTCACTCCCTTCTTGACCCCAAATATTCTCCTCAGCACTTATGATCTCGAACCCATCGAGACATTCTTCGTGTTTCCCAAATGCTGTCAAGGCTAGGCCCTTAAACCTGGGCACGAACGACCCTTACAAAACCTTCAATCCACGATCTTATCATCTCCATGATGCTGTAGCTCTTGCAGTTAAAATGACGCCTTTGAAATACTAAGGATCAGTAACCGGTGCATTCATTTCCACTTTACCTAGGCTTGTCTAATTCGATAATATCAAAAGTTGACCGGATAACCTCACAATTCTTCAAATTATGGATTTTACGTGCTCCCAGGTTCTGAGGCATCTAGCAAGTTGCTGCTACTGCTTGCATATAATAAGCACACGCAATACTCTCAAGGATATCTGAACTGCTGTATGTTGTTATATATATGAGCTGTGTCGTGCTTGTATTTTACTTAATGATGTTAGTTCATATGAAACTTTACAACTATTTAACAAGATTCGGTACTGCCCAGAGGGACAAAAAGTGTCGAAGAAGAACGCTTCTGCACAGAATCAACAAAGAAAGTGACACTTCCCACGCCACTTTCTCTCGTTCACAATTCCATTACTACAACATTTCCTTGAAGAGTCTGCAACTTGCAGTGTGGCCACTAGTAACGTCCTCTCATTCATGGACCGGTGAGTTTCCTGTTTGTCTCGGTACATCTACGTACTAGCATGTCTAAACAAGCGTCGTGGTCACCCACACTGAATATTCCCATTTAAATATAATGTACGGGAAATTAATTAAGAAATAATATCATAAACCCACCGTATCCACAGTCAGGTGAAGCCGAAAGCAATGCAAGACACAATAGAAGTTGCTGACAGATGCACTCTCAAGGTGGCATTCAGCAAGAATGCTTCGGTTAAGCATGGCCGCTCTGCTTGATACGTATATGCAAAGACTTTTAACCCGGTGGCTCTCAACATTTTCTGAATCACGGGCCCGTGAAATAGCAGTTGAGTTACCAAATAAATCCAGTTTCACTAGCATTTCTCGTCTATTTACGACAGTGCATAATGAGTCTGAGATGCTAAAAAATATTTCTTCTGCTGCGAAGTTCAGTAGCACTGAAATCTAAAAGTCGCCATAATTGTCCGCCAATTAAAAATTCTGCATGAGGATGTTTAAGTTTATTATACATATTCGTCGTGCAGTAACACGGCTGCGCCTTCCATTTTGAAAGGTGCAGCTACGACCTCAAAATTCCATGTCCTCTTCTTCTGCACTCGGTAGAGAGGAAACTCAAAATACTAGCTTCATGTATATTATATATTGTAAATTTATAGGCCTATATATATGGGCAAGTGAGAAAGTAAGCTCAAAATACGGGTATTAACATCTTTCTTCTATTGGTATCACTGCTGCCTGCGCACGCAACCATAAGAACCGACTTTTCATACTTTGATAGTGATTTATGTGATCTTCAGCATTCAGCTGCCTTTCACCAGCAGTTCAGTAATTTGTGTAAGACTATCAGGATAATAGGAAAACAGTGCTTTGTGCCCCGAGTGTGGACGTTCTTCAGTGACACTTGCTCTGTCATCACTGCACATGTCAGTCCTCCCGCATAAGCTTCGCTGCGGCAAAACACTGCCACCGTACTGACCTGCGAGCCNCCCCCCCCAAAAAAATTGAATCATTGTGCATATGGTACGCGGAGCGGCCATGCTGACGTCACTAGTGGTGAAAGAGCGGAATGGTGAAGGTCAATAGGGAGGAATGTTCCTGCAGTTACGTGAGCATTTTAGAGTGGAACTAACGGCGATAAAAGATTCGAACAGTCTGCTAATACTTTCTGACTTACATATACATGCAAATATATGTTGCATGCATATTGTGACATGATGCTTGAACGTCCTCTTCAAGCCAACGGCTGGGTGAACGCATTCCCAAGCACCACAAGAATAGGCGTCCACTGCTACACAACGGTTCTAGTTACTGTGATTCTCTATACACAGTGTAAGTTCAACTGCCGAAAGCCGATATCCACGGCAATGAATTGTTCAAAGCACAGCAATCGAGGGTCGCGATAACATTAACTGTTCGTCGTATATGCGGTCGGCTGAAGTATTATGTAAAGACAGGTTTACACTGGGGCAAATAAAGCAACCTAGTTGCTTTCCTCGGGCGACTATGTCTGACGTCCAATTTATCAAGCAGCATGCGACCGACCCCATTTACACCCAGAGCGACTGGTTGCTTAAATTCTTACGTCAGCTTGTGCGTCAACCTCAAGAAGGAAACTCAATGAAGGGAAGTGCACCCACTGATCACCTTCCGTGGATCCGCTCTTCATCTTTCTTTGCCTGTGGAAAGTCGTTCTGAGATTTTTAACCTTTTCTTTCGCTTCCTTCACCGAACATTCAAACTTCGTGGCTAATTCGTCCCATAGCTTCAACTTCTTCCGACTGTCTTTATAACTGGGATCCCGCAAATCCCACAGAATGCTCCTTTCGCGGTATTCTTCAATGAGTCACTTGGCTTTATCCGGGACCCAACCCATTACGCCGCATGCGAGTAGACAACTGCACCCACTAGCGGCCTGGAGCAACTAGAGGACGCGGCACGCCTGCCTGCCAGTGAGCAACTTGTAGCAAGTGATCGCTCCGCGTGCGGCGGGGTTGCCAATGGTTGCCTTAGTGTAAACCCGCCTTAAGGAGGCCCGGAGAGACAACAGAGAGTCAATACAAGAGAATTCAGACGGTAGATGAACAGCTGAAGTACTGAAGACGTCATATCATATGTTACAGTTACAGTAATCTTGAGAGTGTTAACTGTTGTTTGTAGTTAGGATTTGCGAATATCCTGTAAATCGATTCGCCAATCCAAACCCCGTCTACAAGTCACTAAAACGCGTGACAATATGCCGATCATAGCGGTTGTGCGGTCTAAGGCACGAACCGTCTTCGCCCGCTCGAGAACTGGGGTCGTAGGTTTGAATCCCAATCGAGGCATGGATGTCTGTGTGCGTTTATTGTGTGTGTTGTTCCGTGTGTACGATGCGGCTTTGCGACGGGCTGATTCCCCATCCAAGGAGTCCTGACGATAGATGGATGGATGGCCCGACGGACGGACAGATGGATGGGTAGGTATGTAGGTAGGTAGGCAGAAGTCGCAACAATGTGTGTGTGTGTAATATAGACGCAACTGAAATTAAGGGCGAGACAAAATGACGGAGATCAACAGCCATCGGTTGGGAAACACAGCGTTACTAATAATACGGCACTACTTGCAGGAAATTACAATCCTTATGCCTGCATTTAAATAAGGTATCAGTAGTAGTACTGAGCAAGGGCCGGTGGTTAATAAGAATCACTATTAGTACTGTACACACTTCAGCAAGATAAGGATCCTGCTGGTAACCCTCGGTTACAAGCGTTCAGAGCTGTTATCCGGCGTTCTCCCGCTGCTGCCAATGTCTGGGTTTATGGCATCGAATGATTGGATGACTAATGAATAACGAATTGGAAAGAATTTGAAAGGAAGCGGTCTTGGCCTAGTCCAGGAACTATCCTGTGACTTTCCTGAAAAAAATGGTTAATTCTACGAAAGCCTCAATTATATTATCCGGTGTCTCCGCCGAGAATCCAACCATGCGCCTCCAAAATACAAGCCTTGAGGGTTAAAAGCCTCTTGGGTGAGTATCAGTTTCTGTGAATACATAAGAGTGTTCGATATGTATTCTGTACACGTTTGTAAGGTCATACACCCCTTTATCACGCATCATAAAGTGATTTTAGACAAGTCCAGTAGCAGGATACCTACAAGGAAAAGAACAAAAGACGCGGCGTGTTCCAAATCAGGTCCACCCTATTCCCAAGGCAGTCTTATGGCACCGTCTGTTTCTTCGTCCTGAAGTAATGCCAACACTATAAATTGAAACGAAGATTTTGGGGCGTCAGGAAGGGGTCGATGACTGCTTTTTACTGGAACTAACTGGTTTTATCTACTATTATTTTGTAGCAATTAATGGCAAAGCAGAAAAAATAACGATTTCAATATATAGCAGAGCAATCCCAAAGAGCTTTGGCAGCAACAGGTGATGGCATACAAAAGATCTCATTGTCGATCATTGTCGACGGCAGTTTCATGAAGCGCTCACCATCCCGAAGTTACGTAAAATAACTAATACATGACGTCTAGTAACAAATGCAAAAACCACGATAGTTGTTTAAACTTGCATTTAACGTCAACTTGTCCTGAAAATTTCCAGTCATTCATAGTGACGTCATAACGTCAATGTTATAAATTCCAAGGATTCCAAAAACCAAGAAAGGATGTCAAGTTTCTCCTGCACTGGCCGTTACAGGAGGCCCGGAAGAAACAAGATAAAGTGACATGGTTCTGCGAAGTCTGTGCAGAGGATATGCCCTTATGCACGCACTTACTGCAATAAATAGGCGTGCGAAAGCTGTACATGTACATTATGGACAGTGAAGCAACACATTTGTATTTCCTGCTAATTTCTGGCATTACATTAAAACCAGTTATTTTTCTTGGGCCCTTTATTTCGTCATTATGACATGAAATTCGGTAATTTACTATTCTATATTGTTTTCTTTACACTGTCGCGTCTTAATGAC